ATTAGTTTGGCTTTAGTTGGGTTATATCATTCCTTCTTCAACATTCAACTTGGGCCTAAGTCTAAGTTTTATGCTATTTTAGTTAGTGGGGTATTTATTTCCTTGTATTAGGCTATTAGTTTGCCAAAATTGTGCTAAACACTATTTAACATTGTTTTGTATGCAAGAGTTAAATACGGGGAATTAATGCTTATAAGGGATTTTAAGTGTATACCAAACCCTCATTTTGTAATATAATGGTGTTAGAGTTTAACTCTAAATTCAATTGTGTTACATTTGGTATCAAAGAAACTATCTCAATAAATCTTATTCAACTTTTATTAGAGTTTTTTACTCTAGTTACATACACAAAGACTTTCTTAGTAGATTTGAATAAAATTAGTTGGATCGCACCATTTGGTAAAAATGTTATATACATATTCATTTATTGATAGAGGTGTGTATGTAGTTGGTGAGATGGCAAAGTGGAATTGTACTAATGATGCTAAAACCTTTAAATGAGTGAATTTAGAAGAAGAAATTTTTATTGGAGATATTATAAAAGGGGTTAAAGCTAAGTTAGAAAAGGAAGAGATTAAGCCTGATACTACATTATACAACTTAAAATATTGAAATTGAGAATTTGCAAAATGAAATTTATAAATTAAAGAAGGATTAAAAAGAGCAAGAAAGAAGCAAAAAGCACCTAAAGTAACTAAATTTAAGCAATTGAACTTCTTTTCAAATTCCAAGGATAATGTGTGTTCTATGACAATTTGACCACATTGTCCGAGCTCCTCCCAACTTGTCCATCAGCTCCTCCATTTAAGGTATCAAACCTGTTCTTGACCGTAGTCCTGTTTAGTGCACAATAATCCACATACAGCTGCCATGAGTTATCTTTCTTGAGAACCAGCAAGATTGGCACCACAAATGGGCTGGAACTTGGCTTGATGAGGCCCTACTCCAAAAGCTCAATGACCATCTTGTCAACGTCCTATCATTCATCTCAAGAAAGCTAAAGAAACAGATGAGATGTATCCTTCTCTAGGTGATGGAATGCTCCAGAGCTGAAACTTCCCAAGAGACCTGATAGTGGAAAACCGGGAGATGATGGGACAGAACATCCATTCTTGACTTGGAGATGTAGGATATCTTGGCAAACCAACTCCAACGCCCTATCTGTCTCCCAAGCCGAAGTCGTCTGAGTCCGACACTACCAGGAGCTTCGCCTCCTGTACTGCATTTTCCATCCCCCTGTGTTCCCAACGAGGCAACTCGTTGCTTGAAGGAGGCAACATGAGGAACTCTATACCCTTAACAACGCACACAAAGTGACATGGATGATGCAGCTTGAGGTCACAAGAGACTAAGCCAAGCCACCTGGCATTTGCCATCCCAAAACGACAACCATTGCTCCTGAAAGTTGACAACGATGTCCCCCAGCTGCTGCAAGGTTTCCACACTCAGCACGATATCCACAACTCCCATTTCCAAAGTCCTGTCACCAGATATCCTTCCACTACAAATTGGTGGCTTGGGCCTGAACTTTTTGGCCGGTCCTTTTGATGACCAAATCAAAGGTCGACTTATTCTCACGGTTCCCATAATACAGCCTCATGTATTTTGAGATCATATAATATTGAGGAGATCAAGGGGAGATCAACTAAGCCTTATTTCTAATCTTAGGCAATCTGCTCACAGCAAATATTTTGATGAATTTGAAACTTATTGAACGCCACCAATCTAGAGAATGGTTACACACGGAGATAGCACCTTGAGCCTCGCAATACCTCTCTCATTCGAGCAAGTCAATAGACCAAGCAGTGGCCAGCTGAAGAGCCAGCTTAGCCACAGCATTGCCCATCCACCTCTCCGGGAAGTCCAGCGCCGAAGTATCGTGCAAGGACGTGACGAGCTCACGCTTTGCATCCATGGAGAACTTGAAACAATCGGCTCCTTTCGTTCTCACGAGCTCTGAAACCTGCAAAGGAGGGAAATCAGACAACCTTTAAGCAACACAGTCTTCTCGAAGCGAAAGAAGAAATCAGGAAAGAGACTTACCTGATCAAGCCAAGGAAAAGCAGCATCGAGAAAATGCTGCTGATGAAGTATTTGCAAGAGTGCTCGGAACATCGATATCGCGGTCGAATTGGAGAAGTGGTCGAAAGCCGGGCCGGTTTGATTCATCATCCGCACCAGCAGCAAGTCGTCCTCGGCCGACAATGCCTCCTCGTAGGCACAATCGACATCGCCACCGTGAAGGTTCTCCATTGCCCGCGTCCAGAAAAGCCAGGAAGGTGGCGCAACCTGTTTGAGCTCCGGCTGCTTGGACTCCATCACCATCTCCGGTGACTTGTCCGAGGCCACAGCCTCTTCGCCAGCAGCACCCCTGATAGCTTCCAGCGTCGCCTCGTCTTTGGAGGCTCTCCATACACTCCTTGCGGAAGGGCCCTCTCCAGACCTCACTGGACCAGGGCCTCTGTCCCACGCTCGTCTCGCCACTGGCTGGTGGTCCTCACTGTCTACGTGTTGTTGCTGGTGTTGTTGGTGTCGAGAGCTTTCACGTCGTACGCCCGCAACGCTTCTCAAAGTGTCGTAGTTGATGCTGGCCTGTAGCTCCTGGATACTGCTATACGGCGACTCTCTCCCGCTCCTGTCCGAGTTGATCGAGAATCTTTCCTCGTAGTCCGACAGCTTCAGGAACCTGGATCCCAACGCGTCCGACTCTCTCGAGTCCCCAAAACTTCTGTTCCGTGACGTGAACTCGAGAGTCGTTGTCGCGCCCCTGCCGTTGCCACCACCGCTGTTCCTTCCCGAGGATATGTTTTCTACGGACCTCTCAAGTCGCTGTACTCTGTCTTGCAAAGAAAGCATGCTCTCTTGGCAGGTGCACATGAAATCCTGTCACACCACGAATAAAGTAAGAAAAAGAATCGCAAAATAACGTGTCCACTCACTTGTAGCATTTCCAGAAGCTCAGTTTGTCCACGCTCTAATTGGCATATCTGTCGCTGTATAAGAATCCAGTCGCTGCCATTCAAACGTGGCTCAGTACTTGCTGGCTCCGGATCTCCATCCCAAAGCTGACTCTTTTGGTCTTTCTCGCTTTGTTCTTCCGGGGTGGCATCCAGCCACGATACAGTTTCCACGGAGGACTTGATCGCTAGGCTCGCAGCAGCAGCGTTACCACCAACACCACCACCCTCCGGAGCAGAATTAGCCTCGGAAAGATTTTCAGAGCCAACAGGAGTCCGACTCCTCCTAGAACTCCCATCGGTCTCTCCTGAAACAGTAGTTCGACTATCAGCTTCGGCCGAAACAAACTCCTTGTCGCTGCCAGACTTGCCTTCTATGTCTTGCGATGGTGACACCCGGGGCAGAGCAACCTCCACTTCCCAGTCGTCGGAAATCTTACTTTCCAGCTTTCGAAAGAAGTCCGGATTCATTTTCAGGTCGCTAACAGCTGGCGCTTTTTTCCTGCTCGATCCTTTGTTAGAAGCCTTGTCATCGGACGATACTGACTCGGCCTGTTCATACGTTTTAGCTGCATCAGCACCGGAACAGTCAGCTTCAGCATCCGGTTCCTTCCAACAACGTGAAAAACTAGGCGTTTCTTCCGGAGTATTGTTATTGTTGGTGCCTGCGTGGTTGTATAGAACTCAGTACGAGGACAACGGAAAAGAAAAAGAGAAAAGAATAGTCTCACTTCTTAGTTTAAGAGAGCTATCTAGCTCGGGTCCAGGAACCGTCTTCCAGACGTGGATGGCACAGGTAACAGCATCTCGCACTGGTTTCACCTGATCAAAGTCAACCAAAGAACCTAAGAAAAGTAGTGTTACAGAAAGGACAGGGAAAAAACGAAACGAGGGAAATAGAAAGAAAAGAAAGAAGAAAAAAAGGAAAAGCCACGCAATAGCTACCTTGTCAAAGCGATGAGAATCCAGTACTCCAAGTGTCGACGGCTTTAGCTTGGACAAACCAGGGCAAGCAAGCACAGATAAAGTCTCTGCGGCAGCTTTTCGAGCAGTCCAATCGCTGCAGTGAAGAGATTCTTGGACGCAAGGCACGAGCTGGGCCAAATGCTCGTCCCCAGAATCTTTGGCAACCTACATTGTCGAAAAGAGAAAAATCAAAAACTTGTAAAGCCTAGGTAGAGAGAAGAAAGCTGCCATACCCGAGAGAGGCTTCCAATTGCTGATAGAAGCGCTGCCTTTGCCATGAATCCTGGGCTAGAGAGAACTTTGATGATCCGCGGAGCGAGCCTGTGTATGCAAGCCGGGGAGAGATTTGGAGCGTTCTCGATCACTCTGGCGAGGCACATTGCCGCTCCAATCTGGACGTTCTTCGTCTGCTCGCCCATGGAATCAAACAGCGGCTTGGTGTAGACCACCAGAAATCCCCCTTGTGGGTTGGCATTGTTCTCGGTGGCCGGGACCCTGGCGACGAGCACACCGATCGTGTCCACGCACACGTCCCTAATCTGGCTGTCGGGATCCTTGAGCCGCCGCATGAGAAACGCGACGATCTTGGGAAGATGGGGGGAGAGCATCTCACCGTGGATCGCCGACAGCACCGCGAGGATTTTCACGCACTCCTTGCGCGCCGTGGTCTTCTGCTCCGGCCCGACGTCGAATAGGCACGCCAGGAACACCGAAATCCCGTCTTGCGACAGATTCTCGGCAATTCTTTGCAGCTCCTCCACCGCCATCTGCTGCGTGTCGCGATCGCCGAGCTTGTTGAGCGCCGAGAGAATGCTGAGCTTGAGCTCCATCGCGGCGCGCGCGCGCGCGGTCCTGTTGCTGATCTGCGCCATGGCGACCAGATTTTAGGGTTCCTCAATGAACCAGCTATGGCGAAAAATTATTAAAAAAAAATTTAAATCAAGGCTGTCCAACAACGACGGCCACGCCACCGCCAGCTGTCACCCCTATCCACCGCTGGATCCCGGGCGAGCTACAGCCGTTGATTGTAATAGCCACACCCTGGATGCCGTTGGCCTCTCACGGGCACTGACGGCCCAGATCGGGGGTTGGATATGGCCAAAACCATCCAAGGTTTTTAACGGAACCCTCGTTCATTCAGACAGTGGCATTCCGACAAGCCCGTGGCGGCTGTTAGCATTCTCCTGACGAGGCGCCGGATCGATCAATCGAGGCTGGAGCATGGCGCGGGCGGCGGCGCTGGAGCGGCATTTGCCCCTCACGGATTGATAATCCCGTGAGCGCCAGGCAGCGATCGATCCGAAATATCGATATTCGAGCGGCGGGCGCATCGATCTCTCGGCAGCGCGATTTCCAGGTCTTTCTCCTTCTCTTTCACTGCTCCAGGTTCTAGATCTCGCCCCCCCGTATCGATCGATCCATCCCTCCCGCCGCTGCATGGAGTCTCCAACCGACGCCGGATGGATGGTGACATGGGGATTGCTGGGCACAGGCGCGGCCATGGCGGCCGCGGGGCTCTACTGGGCGATGTGCGTGGCCGGCTCGGCGGAGCAAAAAGGGAAGCGCGCCGTGGATCTCGGCGGTGGATCGCTTTCCAGGGGCGAGGTCGCCGGGAACTACCGCGAGTACGCGGCCTTCTTCGATAAGCCCCAGCAGATCGCGGCCAAGGACAAGGTGCCCAAGCTTGTCGACACCTTCTACAACCTCGTCACGGACATCTACGAGTGGGGATGGGGCCAGAGCTTCCACTTCTCGCCGGCGGTCCCAGGCGTGGGGCATCGCGAGGAGACCAAGCTCCACGAGAAGTACGTGGCGGATCTGCTAGAGCTCGGGCCCGGCCAGCGGGTGCTGGACGCCGGGTGTGGCGTCGGGGGCCCGATGAGAACCATCGCCGCCCACTCGGGATCCAACGTCGTGGGCATCACCATCAACGACTACCAAGTCGCCCGGGCTCGCAGCCACAACAGCAAGGCCGGGCTAAGCAAGCTCTGCGAGGTGATTTGCGGGGACTTTCTCCACATGCCCTTTGGCGACGATAGCTTCGACGCGGCCTACTCGATCGAGGCGACGTGCCATGCACCGCAGCTCCGCGACGTTTACGCCGAGATCTATCGCGTGCTCAAGCCGGGGAAGCTCTACGTCTCTTACGAGTGGGTCACGACTTGCAAGTACCAGGCCCAGGATCCGGAGCACGTCAAGATCATCCACGAGATCGAGCACGGGAACGCGCTGCCGGGGCTGCGCTCGTATAAGCAGGTCGTGGAGATCGCCAAGGAGGTAGGATTTGAGGTTTTGGAGGACAGGGATTTGGCGCTTCCTCCGGCGCATCCCTGGTGGACGAGGCTCAAGATGGGGCGGCTGGCGTACTACAGGAACCATGTCGTGATCGCGCTGCTATCGTTCCTGGGGATCGCGCCGCAGGGGGTTTTCGAGGTGCACGAGATGCTGTTCAAGACGGCCATGTATCTGACGCGAGGCGGCGAGACTGGGATTTTCTCGCCGATGCATCTCTTGGTTTGCCGGAAGCCATTAGATGGTGGTGATGCCGCCACCGCTGCTACTGCTGCAGTTGCTTCTTCTTGACTCCTGGAATAATCTGCTCCTCCATCTTCTGCACACTACATTTTTTTAATTTTTTTTTGGTTCTTTCTTCTTGGCCTTTCTTCTTTTTAACTCCTTTATATCCTTTATTTTTCCAGAAAATCGGTTTTGTTCTTGTGCTGCTCTAAAGTAAGGTATTATTTGTGTTGGAGCCGAAAAGAGAGCAAATGTGGCTTATATGAAACAATTTGAATAATGCTATTGGCAGAATGGATATACTTATTATGAATATAGGCTGTTTTGTTGGCGATCTCCTCCATAGAGACGCCCTGGGCTATCTCTCCTCCTCCATATAGAGATGCTCTGTTCATAGAGACACCCTGGGCTATCTCTCCTCCTCCATAGAAATGCCCTGGGGTAGGATTGTAGCTTAGTTTTGTTCTTTCTTTGGTTTCTCTCTTGTTTTTGTTTTGCAGCTTGCATTATTAATATTTGCAGTGCAATTTCTTGCAACATAAATTCCCATTTCTTTTGCTGTTTTCTTGCCATCTATTTCCAATTTGTGGGCACTCTCCTCCAAGAGACGCCCTGCTCCTCCATAGAAGGATTATAGTTTGGTTTTGTTCTTTCTTTGGTTTCTCTTTTGTTTTGTTTTGCAGTTTGCATTATTAATATTTGCAGTGTAATTTCTTGCAACACAAATTTCCATTTTTCTGGTATTATCCTTATTTTGTTGAGGAATATGTGTCCCATGTACACTTCATCCTTAAACATGTTTTACCATGTGAAATTATGATGGGGCCAATTCAAAGGCACATTAGTTTCTATCCCCTGAATCATGTTTACACCTTTCCATATGATATATTTACAAGAGTTCGTACCTTATAATCTGCCAAGGCTAAATATTTCACCAACTGAATTAAACATGAAGGTACAAACAAGATAACTAATAATAGTTAATAGTTATTGACATGATAACTATTGCCATTTTAAGCTTTATTATCAACACAGTAAATAAATATTTCACTTCCACCTTAAAGCAAGGCAATCATCTATGAGAAGACTTTCTTTTGGAAGCTAGGATCTACATGAAGCTCTAACTGTAAGCTAAAAGTCGAAAGATCCTTTGTAGGTTGTTTTATTTGTGATTAATGTGAAAAATACTTTGTATTACACAATAATAGAGTTCTTAGCCACAGTTGCATCAAACAATGCTAAATGGTTTCTTAATTCTCTCACTATTAAGAGTTGATCCCTCCACAACATTTAACAGATTGCAAGGTTGAATTCCAAAGTTTTGGTGCTGAACAAAGAATTTAAAGCTAGATATGTGATCCATACAAGAGGATTGATGCTTATAGTTACTTCTTTAATTCTTCTTGATCTGATTAAAGTGGAACATAAAAAATATTTAATTTTAATCCTATTCCATAACAATCAAAACAATTTTTGCTAATTGGGTAGTATATAATAAGAAATTTATATCTTTTAAATCCTTTAAGAGTCAAAATTCAAATGTAAACCTATTAAAGTAAGCTGTTATAATTTGTAATATTTATAGACTTTATAGTAACTATCAAAAAGATTATAAAAAATGATATTCAAACAAAAAGATTACATTCTTTTAAATGGAAATTTACAGAGAAGCTCCTTAAATTAAACATGTTTACAAATATGCATTCAGAATTTTTTATATAGCAAGAAAGCCTCAGTGACATTTTATTTCTCCTCTAATTTCAAAAGTAGTAATATAGCTAAATATAGTTTTATATTATATAAATATTTATTTTCTTAGTAAAAACATTTTAATCACTTTAAGAAATTTCTATTTTTTATTATTAAAGCTGGAATAAAGTTTAAATTAAAAATTAATATTAAATACTATTATTGAAAATTCATAATAAAATAATAACGAGATAAAGTGATCAATATAGAATTATATCTATTAAAAATTATAAATATTTTCTTAAATTATTCTCAAAATCTGATATGTTAATTTATTAGTGAATTATACCTAATAATTGATCAATAGTTATGTTTAATTTTTTTTTATCTAAAAATATTATATATTAAAATATGTATGTATAATCAAACATGCTTCTCATTAAGTGCATCATTTTATATTGCTACCAAAATCAAAATAATTAATAAATATTAAAAATTAAAATTTTGGCATAAATTATTTTATGAGTCATAACAAATGATAATATTACAAATTTTATGTAGCGCACTTTATCTCTTTCCCTTTAAGCCAACTGGAAAAGGGCCAATTGCTTGATGAGAAAGCCTTTAGTGGCTATTTTATCTTTATTTATCCCCCAAGGTTCCAAAGATCATGGTGACAATATATCCAAATCTCATCTCATGATCACATGCACTACATTTTATGTATAGTCTACTACAAAAAAATATTATTACATTTTTCTTTGTGTTTAATGATGCTTAAGACTACTACATATTTTAACTTAATTTGATTTCTATCCTTTTAGTCTTTAGTTTTGAATACTCTTATTTATTTTACCAATGCACTATTTAACATTTTACTGTATAAAACTTTAAAAGGATAGGGTGATTGTGGAATTTTTGTAAACATAGAAAGTAAAGTATAGCTCATCATGTAAACTATATTATTTTTTAATATAAAATCATGGTTTGCTATTAAACAAATATATTTAATAAAATTAAGAATTGAAAATATATTATTAATATGATGCTGGATGGAAGGAAATATAAATAAACAACTGTATAATGTATAGAGAAATAAAAATAAATATTAAAAGTTTTTTGAATTTAAAAAGTTAATCCCAAAATTCTGACCATGTGTAAAACATCACTATGAGAAAGTAGTAAGAACACATTAATAACATTATAATCACTTTAAGCTAATAAACCTCCTCTTAATTAGCAAGAATTATTTTCTACTTATCTTTAGTGTCTAGAGTATGTTTATACTCATCCTTTATGTGAGTAATCAAATAATTTTATTAAGATATCACTATTTCATTACAAATTTGATAAAAATATGTTAAAACTACATTATAAAAATTCAAATGTAAAATGATTATTAGTCATTTCTTAAGTTATAAGATTAAATCTTAACAAAAAAATTATTTTCAGATATTACAGTTTTGTCTAACATCAATCAAAATGGTAAGAAATCCTGATGTATTATTTAAAAGTTTTTCACCTATAAAATACAAAAAGTTTTTAGTCATTAGTAGAATATACTAATAAAATAATTTTTTGTGCTTTGCATGCAACAATGTTTGGTTTTCTTAATAGTAGTGTTTTCCTATTTATTAATTCATTTGATCAAATAAAAATTTATAATTATAAACATGTTTATAATTTATAAACAACTTGTGTTTTTCCTTGTGTTTGAAGGGATTGATTTTGGTTGTAGTGCACCACCTTCACTTTCACCACTTTGCCCTAATCTTTGAGTTGGAAATTTTTGGCAAATGTAGACACAAAAGTTTCCTCTTATAGAGAACTAGGGAATAATTTTCAAAAAACTAAGGGTTTCTTTTACATTTATCCACTAATATATAAATGTCAAATGACATTATGATTAACATTTTTAAAAGAATAATCCCACCTTGGTGGCTACAGAGGCTCTGGAAGGCATGCTCGACTTAATGACTTCACCGTGCCAAACCAGAGCCAAAACGCTTCGAGCTGAAGACCGAGCTCTCACTGCGAATGGCTCACACAGCCTCGGTCATCAACGACGATATATGGATAATTGGCGGACGGCAAGGTCCTCGTGATCTCTTGGCTCATTAAGTGCGAGGAAGCTTAATCAAACCTTTGCATTTCAGTTTCCTCCAGAAACACAAGCCAAAACTTGTGCTCGTGTGTGCCTTGGGCGGACAGATCCCAGAATTTTAAGCATTAAAAAGGAAAAAGAAGCATGAGAATGGTCTTTGCCACTAAACAACGAAAGAGACGCTAAACATGGTGCCAAACGCATAACACGACGCTCCTCCCCCTACCACGAACAAAAGTCCCTCCACCACAGTAGCGGTGTGCCTCACCAAAAGACAATCTCCTGGGACGGACAATCCCACTCGTTTCCACACCATCGCTCTGGGATCCAGGACAAACAAGCTATTTGCTTGCTTCATCGTCGGGCAGCCCCCGAGAACCGCCAAGCAATCGCCGAGAACAATGCACGAGTGGCTAAACCGAGGAACTGGCAGCTCTCCTGTCGTAAGAACTTTGCTCCACTCGAGGCCACGGGTGTCGAGGACGTGAAGATCGCCGAGAATCTCCTTCCCGTCAAAGCCACCGTAGAGATAGAGCTTATCGTCAATCGCGCACAGTGAGTGTGAGTGACGAGCTGGAGGAGTGGCGCCTTTGCAGTCCAGCCGTGACCACGTAAATCTTGCAGCGTCGAGAATGTAGAGGTCCGCAAGCACGCCTTCCTCACCCAGTCCACCGAAGATGTAAATCTTGTCTCTCACAGCTGCGGCCGCGTGACGATGCCTGGATGGAACGAGAACGATGAGCGAAACTTGATAGCAGTAAGAACTTTAGAGCTTTTCACCTGGGAATGAAGGTATCACCAGTGATGGTCGGGGAGAAGACGTCCGCTTCCTCGCACTTAATGACGAGCACGTCGGCCAAGAGATCATGAGGACCTCGCCGTCCGCCAATTATCCATATATCGTCGTTGATGACCGAGGCTGTGTGAGCCATTCGCGGTGAGAGCTCGGTCTTCAGCTCGAGGCGTTTTAGCTCCTGGTCTGGCACGGTGAGGACGAGCAAGTCATTAAGTCGAGCATGCCGTCCGGAGCCTCCGTAGCCACCAAAGATTACCAGGCGGGATCCTACGTTGCAAGCCGAATGGCCCCAGCGTCGGAACAACTCGGCAGCGCTCTCGGAGAGACGTAGCTCCGACGCCTTTAGACAAAGCCCTGCTGCAACACTGAAGACAAGATCAATATAACATCAGGAGGAAGTGAAAAAGAAGGAAAGATAGCTAGCTCTCGCACGCTTTTCTTGAAAGGAAAGAAGAACAAAAGCAGACCATGGATGCATCAAAGCTAATGGATTCCATGGACATGCAAGTACCTGGAAGGATAGCAAACCTCGGCTCGGCTCAAAATCCTTCAAACCAAGTTTCTACAACTTTCTGACAAAAACGTGTACCTGTGCTCTCGTCAAACCATCCCGACATCCTTTTAGCTTGCATACTATCCTCGTTGGAACTCTTTCCTATCCTACACACACCGTCGTGGAGGTCAGGGTCCTTGAAGGTTTGTCCAGAGTCACTAACAGACTGCCGCACGGAAGATAGAAGCAAGGAGCTTTCTGAGCCGCATAGATCGTGAAACTCTTGCGAGTCCGAATGGTCGTCCTCGACGATCTCGGCTTTGAAATGGTCGTCGTTTGTAACTTGAATTGGTGTATCAAGTGACGACAGTGCTCCGCTTTGAAACTAATAAGAACAAGAAATCAAAGTAAACAAAAGCTCAAGAACAAAACGTGAAACCTTTTTTTACCTGGGTGATGAAAGAATCTAGAAACCTGTTCGTTCTTCGCTTGTTTTGCTCCAGCTTTGAATTTGCTGTGGAGGTGAGGTAGCTTAAGTACTCCTCCGATACCAAGAGCTTCCCTTTCTCGGCGACTGGCACTTCCAGCCGAATCGAGCAGCGTATAGCCACTATAATTCGCTTCCTTATGCTCGTGATTCCTACAACCAAAAGTGTAAAGAGCGCGTATGGTGCACGACAAGAACATGAAAGATGGTACCTGATTCTCGAAATCCCGAGGCGATCGCACAGGCGACTAGATCTTGAGCGGCGGCGACGCTAGCGCAATCTAGCGCGAGAATGAAAGGCTCAAACCGGAAAACCAAGAGCTCGTGCTGCGCATTGCTCACAAACTTGTGCGTGGCCGATACGATTTCCTGTGGAGTCACAAGCTCGTGGCTCACAAACAGCCAATCCCCGCCCTTCTTCTTCTTCCTCGTACCATCGCCGCTCCCATTCTCCGCCGCCAATTCCTCGCCCGATTGCGCGCACGGCTCGGAGAAGAGCGTGATTCGGCCCGAGCAGGAGCTCGTCGTGAAGAAATCCGGATGTGCATTCACCCGGTCGATGAGCACAGCGATTGGCGCGTCAATACCTCCTTTTCGCGATCGATCCGGCTCCTCTGATCCCAGCCACGCCAGCGCCCTGAGCTTCCGCTCGTCAAAATCCGCCATAGCCGCGGGCAAAGAACCCTAGAAAAGCTAGCCTAAACCCTTCTTTCCATTAGGGCTAAAAGGAGGTAAAAAAGGTAAAAACGGGCATTTTTCGCGTTTGCCATGGTTTTGAAATGTAGCGTGGTTCTTTTTGGCGGAAGTCTCTTTCACTATTTTTAATGGGGGGTTTTGGAGGTACTTTCCGATCAGCTGTCTTCGTCAGCTTTAGCGGGACTCCATTTTTCTTTTGTAGCCAAAGTTAGTGGACCGCCAAAAAGAAAGACGTTTGTGTGTGTATAGATTTGGGCCATATTGCTAGAGGCAGACTCTCTTCTTTTTAAATCCCTAGGGAGGAGGGCTCGCGTTTGGCGCTTCCAGGACGATAGGGCGGCTGGGAGAGGGGAGGGGAGCTTCGAGGGAGGCGAGGGTTTTCTAGGCGCTCGATCTAGAAGCTTGGCCATTCCAGCGCTTGGCTCGAGCGTGGGATGCGCCTTAGGTCGCCGGATCGGTGGAGATTTGCGTCGCTCCCAAGCCAGCGGCGATCGATGGGGCAATGCGGCTATCGATGAAGCGGCAGATCTTCGGGGGAGGTATGCTCTAGGATGCTAGCGAGATACATTTCGATGGGAGGAAGAAATCTCGGACGGGGAGCCCTAAGATCAGTGGATTGAAGAATCTGGAAGCTATTTATTTCGGTGGAAGCTGAGAAAGCAGAATGAAGCGAGCGTACAAGCTCCGTATCCTTTTTTTTTTTTTGGTTTCGCTTTTTCTTTGGCGAAGTTTTCCTTTACCATTAGCAGAGGAATTCGTTGCTCATGGATCCGATGTCAACTGTCTTAAAATCGGGAAAAAATCCTCACGGGTGCTTGTCACCGGAGGTGAGGATCACAAAGTGAACATGTGGGCTATCGGCAAGCCAAATGCAATCCTGGTAAGCTACAAGCTATTTTTCTTTTCCTTTTGTCTTACTAGTCCAATCTTGTTTGTAGAGCCTTTCAGGTCATACAAGTGGTGTGGAGTCCGTTGCCTTTGATGCGGCCGAAGTACTTGTAGTAGCGGGTGCTGCAAGTGGAACCATAAAGCTATGGGATCTTGAAGAAGCCAAGAGTAATCGTGTGAGGCATTTCTCGTACCGCTTCTAATGCACGTTTCACTTTGTTTTTTTTTAGTTGTCCGGACACTCACAGGTCATCGGTCTAACTGCATTTCTGTCGACTTTCATCCGTTTGGAGAGTTCTTTGCGTCTGGATCTCTCGACACCAATCTGAAAATATGGGACATACGGCGCAAGGGCTGTATCCACACATATAAAGGCCACACCCGAGGTGTTAAGTGCGTAAAGTTCAGTCCCGATGGGCGATGGATTGTTTCTGGCGGTGAAGACAATGTCGTTAAGGTACAATTCATGTGGAGTATTGTTTTGTTCTGTATCAAGTTTCTTTTCTGCAGCTATGGGACTTGACCGCTGGAAAGCTTATACATGATTTTAAATATCATGAGGCTCAAATTCAATGCTTAGACTTTCATCCACACGAATTCTTACTTGCCTCAGGTATGTTCAAACGCTTAACATAGTTGTCTAATGACCTCGGGACGCAGGCTCCGCTGACAAAACTGTGAAGTTTTATGATTTGGAAACTTTTGAGTTGATTGGTTCGTCTGGGCCAGAGGTATGTTGGCGGATTGATTTTTGAAACATACAATGTTTTCTGCATGTACCAGACGTCGGGAGTGCGTGTGATGGGCTTTAATCCGGACGGTAGGACAATAGTTTCTGCAACGCAGGAAAACTTGAAGGTTAACATCGTTTACTCTACCTGTATTTTGTATTTACTTTACAATTTTAGGTGCTGTCATGGGAACCACTGAGATATCATGATGCCGTTGACGTTGGCTGGTCAAAAATCGCCGACCTCAGTATTCACGAAGGAAAGCTTCTTGGCTGTTCTTTTAACCAGAGTTGTGTCGGCGTGTGGGTTGTTGATCTTACGGTAAGAATTTGCTGTTGTCAAGTGTCAAATAATTGTGTTCGTCTTTTTACTGCAGCGTGCTACGCCACTTCAAGTTAGCGCTGCTTCTCGCACAAACAGCGTAGTAGCCGGAAAGGCGGTCTCAAATATTACCCCGGCCATCGATTCTCACGTGAAGAATCCCGTTAAAACTTCGATGCCGCAACCCTCTGAATCCGTTCTAAAGGAAGTGAGAACCGGCACTGGTACAAAATGTAGGCAATTTATAGCTGTATGAAATGTTGGCTAATTTTCTTCCTTGTCCTGTGCAGTGAAGCCAGATCTTGATGTTACTGCTGTCGAAAATGCACCAAATGCTCCTAATAGAGTTTCCACTCCGTTACCGAGCAAAGCTTTGACGTCTTCTTACGTTTTGACTCCAAGAAAAGGTTCCATAACCAGGGTACAATCCAGCGACATTGTTCGTCAGTCTTCGCCCATGTCAGGCATTGCTTCAAGGCCAGCTAGTGGTTTAAGCTCTTTCTCGGAGAATGGCCATGCCCCTACACCGAGGCAAGAGTCAACTGCTGAGTCCATCAGGAAAAGCTTCGAAGGAAATGGAAAAATTAACGGAAATGTTGGAGCGGGCGATTCTTTTTCTCCAAGGGTTGCCGTCATTAGAAGCTCTTACATCCATCCGGATACGAGCAGTAACAAGACGTTCCCAACTGAAAGCGACGACGATAGAGAAGAAAAGGTTACCAAAAGGCACACGCCATTTTCTATCAAAGCAGAATCAGGAATCAGAGGATCCATATCCGGTAAGTCCCTCGGTTACTTGTGAAGCATGCTGCTAAAGTTTTCTGGCAGACGACCGAGTACAACAGCTGAAGCATTGTTTTGATGAAGTAGCTGCTGCACAAGGTAGGATATGTGTGTGTTAACGTGCCTGGCTAACATCTTGATAATTCAGGAGATGCTGATTTCAGACGATCTAGATCTTTTTCTGCTCAACGGGGAAGGAAAGAAAGAGACATCGCTGATGTTCCTGTTACAGTTCATGTGGGTCGTGGAAAGCCTGTAGCCTTGGACACGAGTCAACGTAACTCAATGGTATGAACGTTATTGGTATTCTTGGTCACTGTTCTCATGCTTATTTCAATAGATGGATGCCATGGAGAAACCTGCAGCTGCTTCTCAAGATGAAACAGATGCACTGGACGAAGTAATGCAGCAACATTATACAGTGAGTGGTACCTTACAAACACGGTTGGCAAAGCTTCAGGTGAACCTTCGTTTTTATTTGCCTTGTTCTTCGCCTCAACTGCTTTCCTTCAGATGGTACGAAGACTCTGGTTTAAGAATGACCTTAAAGCTGTTATAGACGCAACAAGCAAAATGGCAGATAATTCGGTAATATCGTGAATTGCTATAAACCGACGCTGATGTTTCCTGCAGGTTCTAGGGGATTTATTGAGTATCCTTACCGAGAGGAGTGACATGATTACATTGGAGGTGTGCTCGCTTCTCCTTCCACTCTTGAATACCTTGTTGCACAGCAATTATGACAGGTTGGGATCTGCAAAGTTTGTTTCGTTCTTGAGCTAATTTTCGACTTGAAACAGACACATCACGACTTCTTTGTCGATGCTTTCTTTGCTGGTCAAGAGTTTTGGCCCACTTATACACAACACGCTTACGGCGTCCCCATCAATTGGCGTTGATGTGCAACTGGAAGAAAGGTGCGTTTGTTGAGAGAAAGCTTTGTTGTTGACTCGTTTGTTGCTTTGTTGTGTAGGCATGCCCGTTGCAGCGAGTGTTACAAGGAATTGCAAGCAATCAAACAAAGCATAGCACCTTTAATGAGGTACGTGCCTTCTGTGACAGTCCGTTGTGTGACAATCGGTGTGTATTTTTGTAGGAAAAGTGGCGAGATTTCGAAGACTGCACGGGATTTGAATGTAGCACTGAGCGACCTATGATCTTACTTTTGTCCGAGGAGATCTCAAGCATTACCAACGTTATATTCTGCCGCAGCTATAGGTGGCCTTTTACATATGCTCCTTGCTGTGATGTAAACTGTATTTTCTTTGCAGATTGCTACAAGGTCTCATGGCACACGGACTCGTCAGCTTTGCTCGTTCTAATGGCGTTGAATTGATCGCCGCTTTGTATATTTTTTACTCGCGGGCGGGCTAATGTTCAAGGTGCTGTACAAATAAGTTTTTGGCCTGTTTGTTAACTCTTGATAACTACTTAATTTGCGTACATCCAAGGACTTTATTGTTACGGCCGAGGGCTTGTTCTAGTTCATTTGTCAGAGCTCAAGAAAAGCAGGATGGACGAGGTAAGTAACCCATTGAACAGGAAAAGGCCCCACGCAGTGGCAATAGCACTGCCAATTCAAGGCCACATTAATCCAATGATGCAACTGGCCACCAAGATGGCTTCCAGGGGGTGTATCGTCACTCTTGTGAACCTGCAAAGCAACCACAGGAGATTGGTAGAAGCTTCAGATCCAGTGAAGAATATCCGCTTCGAGTCTGTTCCAGATAGAGTGCCAGTCGAAGTCGCGAGCATGGCAATTTTCGGGTCCACAGAGAACAGGAAAACTTTCCGGAAAGCTTACGAGGCCATGGAAGAGGATGTGATGGAGCTGCTCCAAAACAAGCTCTTGCAGAGTGACTGTCCGGTTTCTTTTATTATCGGTGATGTCTACCTCAACTGGGTTGTCCGGGTCGCAGACGCAGTCGGGCTACCAAGACTCTTGTTCTCCACAACCTGTGCTTCGTCTCTCCTGGTGGATCACTGGATTCCTCGGCTCTTGGAAACCGGAGAAATACCCATTGAAACAGGTACACGGGTTTTTTGCTTGCTCTTTGTTTTTTCTTATCTCATGTCACTTGTGTTTTCCTCTTTCTTCAGGGATGGACAAAGAGGTTTTAGCCAATCTACCTGGAATGCCTCGGCCACTTCGAAAAGCCGACTTGCCATTCTACTTCACCAGCAGGCTGTCCACGCCGGACTCGTTCTCACGCAGGTATGCCAAAGCCAAGTCTCTACGTGACTGCGACGGCATTCTCATCAACTCGGCAGACTTTCTCGAGCCTGGAGCTTTCAAGGCCCTCCAGTCGGAGGTGAACTCTAACACGATCGGCGTGGGGCCGCTGCTTGACACGGCCGGGAAGTCCACCACAAACGCAGCTTGGGTGGCGGACGCAAAGTGTCTCGACTGGCTCAACGGCAGGGAAGAGAAGTCCGTCCTCTACGTCTCGTTTGGAAGCCTGGCGACGCTGCCGTGCGAACAGGTGTTGGAGATGGCCGAGGGGATCAAGCAGTGCGGCTACTCGGTCTTGTGGGTTCTCCGGCCAAATCTCCTCGGCTCCACCGGGGAGGACTCCCAGGAATCGCTCAAGACGGTGCTGGAAGAGATCGAGGCGTCCGGGAAGGCGTGCCTGGTGGATTGGGCTCCTCAGCTCCAAGTCTTGGCTCACGCTGCGGTGGGGGGTTTCTTGAGTCACTGTGGATGGAACTCGGTGCTCGAGGCGGTGTGGTTTGGGATTCCAGTGCTGGCGTGGCCCCAGATTGTGGAGCAGAGCTTGGTTGCCAGGATTGCTTGCGGGGAGTGGAAAGTTGGGATGAGAATGCCGGTGCTGGAGGGTGGTGGTGGTGTCATTGACAGGACAAGGATCTCGCAGTGTATCGATGGGTTTATGATGGAGGGAGAACTTGGAAGGAACTGCCGGGCTCTACAGATGGTAGTAAAGGCATCGGGTGGCCTGCCTTGTTTAAATTCGTTCTTTTATTTTGTTTAATTTGTCTCAAACTTATTCCTTTTTCATAGAAAAGAAAATTCGAAAAAAAAGTAAAAAGTCTTAACTACTTTAATGACCCACTTTTTAAAAATGTATTATTGTATTGTGGAATTCTTAATAAATTATTACATTTTATTATTAAATAGTTACCATCTTTAAGCTTCACAAAATAAACAATTATGTCCACCTTATAAAATATATTAAAAAAAACAATAGATAATATTATTAAAATTACATAACACAAGATACTTTTTCAACTTTTTATATGGCAATTAATAAGTTTCAATATGCTTGTATTTTTGAAAAACTCTCAAGCTCAAACAGTGTTATATTGTAGTTACTTAGATTAAGTATTACAATACAATTACTTCAAAATGTTTATAAATTTTATCTCATTTTATTTTTATTTTACATTTATTTTTATAAAATATTAATGATTTTTGACACAGTCAATTATTTTTTGATATGCATATGTTTCAAATAATTATGTATTAACCTTTTTATAAACACTTTTGATAAATAACAAGCTGAATATTATTATTATATGTCCCTAAAACAATTAAAATATTAATGTAGTAAAGTTAAAATGAACAGTTAATAGTTACATTTATAAAAAATATATTTAACTTCTACATATCTAAATAGAAGGTTGTGCATTTATCTAAATATTATAAAATTAATACTATGAGTGCTTGGAATATGGAAAGGGAGTATAGAAAATGTGCATATCAATTAACCCAAAAACCCTCGCTTATATACAGGAGCAAATGGTCCATATTGAAATCAATTTGACAGCTACCAAAATCCCACTATGTTAATATTAGTATACGGCATCATAATTGTACACTTGGCCCTCACATTATTCTCTCCTCTAGGAATAATGGAAGACCATCAAGGTTCTTTTATAGATGGGCTAGGATTTAGAGGAACGTTAGGAGGAGGCATTGGCAAATCTGTAGGTGGTATTAATTGCTCCTGATCCCTTTGTATGATGCATTTCAACTGTTGCACATGCACAATCTCTGGAGAATCAGTCTACTGGACGTTATGCCGAACTTCATAAACTTGTCATCCAACTTATCAAAATACCTAATACAGTCCTTTCCACTAAACAAGGAGCCCTTTAAATAAACCACGTACCGTAAGATGGGGAAAACGGACTAACACTAAATCATTCACTTTATACTCTATAGGTGGACAATGACAAGAGTTGTAATGCCATTGTTGTCCCACTTATATGCAGCCTAAATGTTTGGCAAACTCTGCTTGGACAAGTGGAAAAATGCTCGTCAAATATTGATCCCTTGACCTAGCATCAGCAACTCGTGGCAATCGTGAAGGTAAACCCAACTCCATTGGTAATATTAGATCATGACTATATAAGAGTTTATATGGTGAAGCACCAACAGAACTCTACACCCCTATGACATATGTATATCAAAGAAACGATAAATTACTATCCCAATCTAAATGCTGAAAGTTCACATACTTCGTGATCATCCCTTTGAACATCCGAATGAGATGTTCCACTAGACCATCTGATTGTGGATGATAAACACTTATGAAAGTGTGGCGTATCCCCAACCTAGACATCAAAACATGAAATGCCTCAGCCATAAATGCGGGGCCATTATTCGAAAAAATCTGTCCTGGACAAGAATGCTGGAACACCACTCAATTGAGGAAGAAGTATCTAATAGTAGTTGCAGAGGCACTAACAAGAGCACCAACTTCCACCCAATGAATCAAGTAGTTAGATGCAATAATAATATACTCATTTCCAGCAGTCGACCGTGGAAAAGGTCCCATAAGATCAAACACCACCAACTCAAACGGACGGAAAACCGCAATTAACTCCAACCGTCCTTCCACAGCATGAGGGGGAGTATTATGAATTTGGCACCAAATGCAGCTATGTCATGTCACATCTCTGACCAATAAAAAAACCTGCATAGCTTCTCAGTTACACGACGATGTCCCATATGCCCACCTAGAACAGGAGAATCACGGTAAGCATGGAGAAACCGTGAAATAAAGACAGAAAGCACCACCAGCCGTAAATGATCATCAAGATCTGTCCCTACAAAATAAAGAAGGCCATCCTCAAGGCAATATTGAGAATGTACATGCTGGAAAGGTAAGTCATCAGCAAGTGATGCAAGATTCTCAAACCCATCGCGAAGCTTTCGAATCCATGGCTCAATCTTTTGAGCCTTGTGAACCTCATCAAGAGAAGGTAGATCTTGCTTTGCGCCTTGTGGACACTGAACATCAAGTACAGCAACTGCCGACAGCACAGAATCCTTGTTTAGAAAATCCATAGATACTGGAACAACAGGCTCATCAGAAACATGAGAAGAGAGTGGAGAAGGAAAAGGAGCTCGAGAAAAAGCATTAACATCAGCCATAGAACTCCCTGGGCAATGAATAATGTCAAAATCATATATTTGAAGCTTCAAAATCCACCGAGTAGTACGACCAACTAGGTTCTTCCGCTTCAATAATGAAGTAACAGCAGCATGGTTACTTTCAAGTAACGTCCAAGAACCATGTAGATATGTATGAAGTTTCTTGAAACCCCAAACTATTGCTAAACACTCCTTCTTTGTCATGGAATAGTTCACTTCTACTGGTTGTAATTTACGGCTTATATATGCAATAAGATGACACTGACCAAGCACACTAAAGCTTCCTTGCATCAACACACCTCCAAGACCAATATGAGAAGCATCCACGCACAAAATAAAAGGTCAAGTGTAGTCAGGATATGCCAAAACCAAAGGAGTCGTCAACAGCTCTTTGAGATCCACAAACGCCCGCTCACAATCCGAAGACCAGATGAAAGATGATGTTGATGACTTCAGCAACGCTTGCAACGGTGCAGTGCAATCAGAAAGATGATCCACAAAACGACCAAGATACTGCACCTTGCCCAGGAAGTGTTGCACATCATTCACACACTTCGGAGTAGGGAACTTTAGAACAGCCACAAGTTTGTCAGGATCAACTTGCAAACCCTCACGAGAAATATGGTACCCAAGATAAATCGTGTCCTTGGACCCAAACACGCACTTCGACCGCTTCAGCTTTAAACCAATGTCCCGTAGCCAATCCAACACTTTACAAACATCATGAATGTACTCTTCCCATGTCCCCTCCGAGTGAATCAAGACATCATCAATGAAGTCAGCAGTCACCTCTGGCATATCACAAAGAACCTTGTCCATCATCCACTGGAAAGTTGCTGGAGCATTGTTCAAACCAAACGGCATCACCAAGAACTTGTACAAACTAAATGGTGTACGAAAAGCAGTCTTAGGAATATCTTCTTCGGCCATCGGTACTTGCCAATACCCAGAAGCTATATCTAGTTTGGTGAACCAACGACTTCGCCCCAAACAATCCAAGAGATCAGTAGTGTGAGGAAGAGGGTACACATCCGGGATCATCACTTCGTTTAACAGACGATAGTCGATACAGAAACGAATACTTCCATCAGGCTTCGTCACAAAATGAGGTTCACATGCCCAAGGACTCCGTGACTTCCGAATAACACCCTTCTCCAACATTTCCTTGACGTTTGTATGTAAAATCTTGATCTCTTTGGGTGACCGACGACAAACAAGAACCTTGATTGGACACGCATCCCTGGTTAAAATAGGATGATGTGTGGGAATCTTGGCCCTAAATGATAGGTCAAATTCAAAGAGATCAAAATACTCCTTCATAAGCCGGTCAACTGCTGCAACACAATGATTTTCGGAGGGATTGGAAAAAGGAAGAGCAGAGCAAGATGGAAACATAGGAGGAAGGAATAGGGGGACAAAAGTAATGGAAGCAGAGGTAGAAGTAAAGGGATGAAAAGGTACTGAAGTAAAAGGAATGGATGAAATATAAGGTAAGATGAGACAAGGGGAAGAAGCTTCAAAGTCATATTTAGCATGATTGCACTGCAACCAATCCATACCAAGGATGAGGTCAAAAGCTTAACTCGACACCACCCGCAATGATTGCAACCCAAGCTCAAGATTGCCCACACGCACAACCAGGTCCGCCTCATCCCATGCATATGCATGTGTATGGCCGTTGCCATAAAGAATAAAAACTGGTTCTGTCGCACGACGCAATTGTAGATAGCAACGTGTGGCAACAGGTCAAGCAATAGAAGGTAATCTCAAACCTGTATCAACCAACATAAAGAGAATAATAGGAGACCTCTTGTTATAAAAACGAGCTTGGAAAGTAAACACTGAATGAACCAGTGTTAAGTGAACCCCTTGATGATACTCCCGAAAGAAAGATGGAGGGGTCACTAACTTATTCGCATAAGATCCCTCCATTACTGGCATGACTTCTCATTTCCCGAATGCATCTCGGTGTGCAGACCTTCCATTGCAATAGCACCAACAAGATGTTGTTGACGCTAAGGTCTCCACCCAGGAAATGGAGGTCGCCAATCCGGAAAACGCTGACAACGCCGATAAGTGTGACCAACTTCATCATATGCCCAACAGTGAACATCATGACCACGACCACGTCCTCGCCCTTGTCCTTGGACTCGAGCAGCAGCAGCATCAACCTCTATTGGAACAGGACCATCGCCCACAGGGAGTGTAGTGGAAGGACATGCAGCAAGAAGTTGAAGAAGCGACATTTTATAACGTTGTGCCAAGTGAAGAGCGTCACCAAGGGTGGTGTAAGCAACTAAATTTTCCATTCTACTTTAGTCACTTAACCACACTTCCAACCACTTGGAGGAGTCTCACTCACAACCTCCATAAGTCCTATTTCAGACTTGGGCTTGCTAGCCCCGAGAATGGCATCCCCGCCACTCAACCTTTGCACTTGATCCAAGTGCTCCATGTGTTCGATCCCATGACCGACACCCCGAGGTACCACCAACATATCAACCTGTTACGCTAAGGCCATGTCCATTCACCTTGGTGACAACGATGGTCTGACACCACCTACATCCCAGTCCCATCACTCAAAGACTGGGCCATCCATCCACGAGTGATCATCCCAAATCCACTCCTTAGCATCCTTAGGA